GCATAGACACCATTCTTATCTTGTAACTAGATGAAGACTCTCAGCAGTTCAGCTTCCTGCACAAACTCACTTGCAAGATGTAAATTTAAAAAATACCAGGAAGGAAGGACAAAGAGAAACTGACAGAAAGATGACTGAAGCACTTAAAATCTATGTGTATGCATATATTCTGCTATGAGCTCCTTTCACTGACAATTTGCCTACGTGTTTATATATTCTGCTATCACATCCTTTTATTCACTCTTTGTAGAACAAATAAAGAAAATGTGGGTTAAAAAGTCAAAATCACTTTTATATCTCACTAACCACAAAAAGTCACCAGAAAGATTAAGTGTAAGACACCTTTGAAGAATATGCCAAGATGTAGCATTTACACCAGCAGCTACTGAAATGGAAAAGCTGCTTGTTTTTGAAATCACATTCTAGGCCAGAATACAGACAGAGACACCTGGCACCAACAAAAGAACCAAGGTACCTTCTGCAGAGTCTTAAAAAAAAAATAAATTCAAGAGTAAAACAGGAGAGAGATACTAAGACTGAAGTGACTCCAATTAGGAACCGATTCCTTAAAAGAGGAAGGCAGCAAGCAGTGGCTTCATCCAGTGAAGAGTTTCACAAAAGCTGATACTGGGCTCTTGAAGCAAGGAGTGAAAAGCACAATGCCCCAGAAGAGCTCCTACAGCAGAGCTGCAGTGCTGGTCCCCTTTACCTGGCCTTCGGGCTGGCTGCAGGCTGCCCATCGCCTGCTTGTACCGACGGCTCTCATCCTCTGCCACTTCAGTGATGTCTGAGTAATCAACAGCATCCTCGGTGCTCTTAACCCAGCCTAGGAGGAACACAAACCTTTATCCTAATTTGTATTAGTTACATCAGACTTCACTAGGTGCTTATGAATGCTTTGCGAAAAACTATCTGATTAGCATCTCCCACCAGAGTACTGTTCCCCTCATTCTAATCAAAAGCTCGCATGGCTCTGAATTTCCCCTAAAAGATTGGTAAGCAAGCAAATTTAGCACAAGGAGCACCTATCACTTACTCGTGAAAACTGTTCAACAAGTTCAGAAAGAGATATTATAATGCTGTGTGCTAAGTAGGCTTCTTTAATACAAACACAGATTAAACTTATTTATGAAGGAGGAGAGACAAGTAAAAGAAAAAATACTCATAAAAAATGAAAGGGAACAGGTGCAGAATTGATTGGGAGCTACTGTGGGATTCTGTTTGGCAAGGTGGAGAAGGGAAGGCGTTTGACAGAGGGCCGCTGAGCAGAGACCACCACGACACTCCCTGCAGACCCGGGTGCATTTCGTCCTCCGCAGCCCCTCCGCTACCCGAGCGCAGCCACCCAGCGCCAAACCTTCCTCGTCCAGGTGCGCTCCCTCGCTCTCGGCGCTGTCCTCCTCGCTGGCGGTGATCTCGGTGATGAGGTTGCCCAGCCCCAGCACGCCCAGCCCGGCCAGGTGCTTCTTGGATTCCTGGGGAGACCAGAGCTGGGAGGCTGCGAGCGCCGGGCCGGGCCGGGCCCCGCGGGTGCTGCCCCAGAGCCCGCCCCGAGCATCCCCCGGGACACCCCGAGTTATCCCGGGACACCCCGAGTTTCGTGACACATCCCGGCTCACCCCAGCAGAGCCCGGGATGCCCCGGTACATCCCGCACAAAGCGGGCCACCCCGGCTTCACCCCGGCATAGCCCACAGGTGGCCCCAGGCACCCCGGCTCACGGCCGTCCCTCCGCCCGCGGTGCCTTCCCGGAGCGACACGGCCCTACCTTGTCGAGGACGCTGTCCCCTTCCAGCTGCCCCGCCTCATTGATGTTGCCGAAGAGGAAGCCGGCCAGGGAGAAGGGCTCGGCGCGGCCGCCATCCGCCTCCTCCTCGCTCTCCGAGTCCGACATCGCTGCCCCGACACCGAGAGCGGCGGAAACGGCCCCGGGAACGGCCTCCGCCCACAGCGCCCCCGCGCGGCCCCGCGGCGCGGCGCAGCAAGGAAGCGCAGACGCTCCGCCCTCGCCAAAAATTCCTTTATTGCCTCAGGAACCGGGCCCGGCTTTCCACAGGAAAGAGCTGCCTTCAGCACAGGTGCGGGACAAACAGCAGGGCGAGTTAATGCGACAGCCAGAGAGGTGAGGAAAGGTTTATTACAATGTCATTACGCATAATTTATAAAATAATAAAAAAAAAGGAAAAGATCCTTTAAAACTGTTAGATGTAATACAAATTATTTTATAGCATAAAATCAAGTTGCCAGTGTATGTATCAGTACCACACTTCAGAGCCTTGGGCTCCCACGGCTGCTGGGTGGTCCTTGCTGCCCACTGCGGGGGTTGGCACCCCTCCGAGATCCATCTGCTTCTCACTGGGGCAGCCAAGCAGCACCAAGGCTTCTACAGTGAGGTTTAGCACCCGGACACAAAGCACAGGGAGCTGCTTCTACTTTAAATTTCATAGAAATAGCTACAGCTCTACACTGAAGAAAGCACTTCCAAATCTAAGCACAGCTCATGGATATCCTTTGGACACACAATTCCTGAACTGCCCAGCTTCAGCTGTATTTAAAAAAAAAACCAAAAAAAAAAACCCAAGTAGTTCAGAAATAATTCACAAAGCAAAGGTTAAAATCTGTGTCTTCACAGTGAGTCTCTTCTGTGAATTAAGACATACACATTGCATCTCAATTCAGTAACAAACTGAAGGACCTTGGACCATTCAGGAAACCCACACCGAGTTTTCTGACCTCCCAAAACAAGACAAAATCCAGCCATGGGATTATGTGAAGTCTGTATTTTTCAACTGCCCACAGAAGAAAAATAAAGCATGGAAGAAACAGAAATGATTGTAAACTGAAGCACTGGACTACTTACAAAAAAAGGACCAAGAATTCCAGGGAGGGGGAAAAAAAGGAAGGAGGATCATGAAAGGAGAATGCCCACTGAAAGGAAAAGCTCGCTGGATTTGTTCTGAAGCTCACCCTCATGGAAAGCAGAGGCTGGAGGAAACCAGCTACTAGCCAGGACTTTTACCCCGTCAGAGGGTGACAGAAATAGAAAGCATTTAAATAACCACGTTCTCCGAAGTGAGTAAAAAGTCTTTGACGGTTCAAAGTTCTCTCTGCTCATTTTCATAACTATCCTCCTGTTCTTCTCCTCAGAACTGTTGTGCAATCCATCTGCTAAGTAATCTAAGTGGGGATAAGGTGTTCTGGCATAATGTAATCAACAGTGTAACCAAATCAAATAAATTGATTAAGTAGTTGAATTTTATCTCGCTACACTCTCTTCCAGTTCACTCCAGGATGGCTGCTTGAGCCTACAGAAATGGAGGGGCTGTGCAATAATACTTGCTCACAAGATTTCTTCTCCACAAAATGCATGTAATTCAGTTAGGAATAACCACAAAAAGGCACAGGATTAAAAGATTTCAGTATGTAAAAAAGTAAAAACTTTTAAAAACAGTAGTAGCTTCAGTACAAAACTGCAAATATATGTAGCCAAAAAAAAAAAAAAAAAAAAAAAAGGTAGACTTTTAATTTCAGGCACCTCTTAAGACTAGTTCAAACGTATCACAGACTTTTAAAAGTACATTTCTGAATAAAGCAAAGGTTATGGGCTTGCACCGGGGTCACTAGACAGTTGATTCAGGTCTGACCAAACCACGTGCACTGGCTTAAATAAATACATTTTAAACATGATAAAGTCTATTTACTCAGTTACTTAAATTTACCTACAGAAAATAATCTTGAATTACAAGGCACAGAGTTAATTGCTGCCTGCAAGCCCAGCCCACACTAAAGGCCTACAGCTAAAGCAAAGGCAGAAGGTGGTGAGTAGAGGTTATCTCAGTGAATTCTCTACAGCCTTCAGGGCAGGAGCCACATCTGGAACAGCACTTCCTCTGCAAGTGCAAGAGACACAAAGACACTCCAGGCAATGGCACTTGGTGAAGAAAAACGTGCAGAGTGTGCAGGCTTCTGCAAGCATCCTGCAGAAAGGTGTTCTGGAACTGCCTGTGCTCAGCCTTTGGAGCTCTGTGTCTCTTCACTGACCACAGGCACCAGCATTTGGGTTAACTGCAGTTTATAACCTGCGGGTTGCAATTGGCTAAAGCAGCACCAAAATCAGCATGTCTCAGGTGAAAAAAAACTGCAGTTAGCGTCAGCATCAGTTACACTAGCTGAAGAAAGGCACATCCTCTTCAAACAGAGGAATTAGGGCACAAATACCAACATTTCTATCCGAATAGAGGAATTAGGGCACAAATGCAAACGTTTCTATCCACCTGGTATTTTTGCCAGCATCAGATAAGGCAAGGTCAAATTAACACACAAGATCCCTAATAACCTTGTTGATGTATTTTCTGTTATCTTGCTAAAATGAGGCACTTTTTTTTTTTTCCTGACCAGGGTATACACCAGTGCAGTTTTGCATGTGTGGGAATCACAAGAAAAAAGCAAGTTCTGAATGACCAATTGAGGCTGCAGCCAGACAAAGACAGCACTGTCAACTTCAGACAACAAAGCCCAGTCCAGCACCAGTGGTTTCACACAAAGTATCTTTGAAGCATGCTGCTTTCATACCACGGAGCTGGAAGGTTGAGTCTAAGGAAGGGCTCATGCGCTCACTCCTCAGCTGGTCCCGGAACCACACATAAAGAACAGTGCACATCCTGAAAATAAAAGCCAGCTGCCACTTACTGGAGCTGCTAAAGAAGGTTAAAAAGTATGTAAATAGAACTTCAGTTAAAAAGAGTGTATAAGAACTGAGCATCCAGGAGAGGAAAAAACCACCCAGGTAATCCTATCCAGTGACTGGCTAACCATTACAGACTGAACTGAAAATAGGAAGAAGCAGGGGTTCCTGTAAACAGAACCTCCAAATTTTCTGTCAGCCTTCTCACAGAAAAACAACAAAGGAATTTGCCATAAAAATCTCACATGGTGGCCCCAAGAATGTTAGGAATTTAAGCACTTGCTCAAGAGCAAACAGGCTGCTGTCAAGTCTCTGGGATTCATGAAAAGGATTACACTGAAAATCTCATTTTGAGAAGTGTCATCCTAAATACCTCAGTCAGCCTGAGAAGGTAATTGTTAAAACTTTATTCTCAGGGTGCAACGTCTCTTTGGAGAGTGAAATAAAATCTCAGTTTAGAAGATTATGGAAGACTTGAATCTAAACTACTCTTCCACTTCTTCACCTCAAAACTATGAAAATCACTAATTTGACTGAGTCATCATTATTCTAAGTTCCTTACATAAGGAGAAATCAGCTCCTGCTTCTATTAATAAATCATTGCAGGTATTCCCTTGGTCTTGCTCATTGCATTAACCACGCCTCATGCTAACTCTTCATACAATCAATCACAGTTCACTACAAGGTGAATCTCAGTAATAGTTCAGGCATTTTTGCAAGTAAACAAATTGTTTTCAAGCTTTAAATTGACAAAACAACTGGACAGCCAGACTTCTGTTTGTACAACAAATTCAATCAGTAAATAAAGGATGGGAAAAGCAGCAGCTACACTTAAAGCAAAGTTATCAGGATTTGTGCTTTTCAGCAAATCTAGTAACTGATGGCTATCTAGTAAAGAAGTGGCTTCAAAGAGGTCTCCTCTTTTATTTTCCTCCACTAAAATAATCAAGTGATCCCTGGAGAAGCTGGAGACTGGAACTTTAGAAATAGAGTAGGTGTTTGACCTCTCAGTTGGAAAAAAAAAACCTGTTCTGTTTCAGTTTCCCTGAAGCAGTAAGACTGCAAGAATATTCATTGTATAAACCATTTCTGCTTAGAGCTGTTAGTGCAAGATGCAAATCTTCAATTTAACTCGTTAGAAAGCCCTCCAAGATTCTAGTCAACTTCCAACATCCATCACCCAAGGCAACTACAACAGGACACATTTTCTTGTGTTCTTCTTTGTCACAGGATACAGAACTGCACGGACAGCTTCAGCAAACACCTCCCGAACACCCTCCTGATTCAGCGCCGAGCACTCCAAATATTTGACTGCTCCAATTTGTTTAGCCAGCGAAGTCCCCTGCTGCGGGGTAGTGGGAGCCAAGCTCTGCTCTTTCAACTTTTTAACCGTTTCCAGGTCACTTCTCAAGTCTCTCTTCGTGCCCACTAAAAGGATGGGGACATTTGGACAGTGGTGAGACACTTCAGGGTGCCATTTGTGCCTGACGTTGGCGTAGGAGGAGGGGCTGCCGATGGAGAAGCAGATGATGAAGACGTTGGTTTGGGGGTAGGAGAGCGTGCGCAGGCGGTCGTACTCCTCCTGGCCCGCAGTGTCCCAGAGGTTCAGGCTGACTGTCCGGCCATCCACGGTCATCTGGGCACTGTAGTTGTCAAACACAGTAGGGATGTACTCTTCTGGGAAGGCGTTGGTGGTGTAGCTGATGAGGAGACAAGTTTTTCCCACCGCGCCATCTCCGACCACCACGCACTTTATAGTCTGCATTCTTCACCCAGAAACAAAGTCCTGCTCAAAGCAAGAAGAGAGGAATTAGGTAAAGGACACTCACTGTAAAGATAAGCTTTAGCAAGTGTTTTTAATATAGCTGAGGATTTCTTATCACATTCAGTGTCTCAAGCCACTCTGAAGAGCTCGGGGCTAGAAAGACAATAGTGAAATGGAGATGCAATGAGTGGAGAGCTAAGTGACAATTGGCTGCATTCCAACCATGTAAGTACAAATTAGCCAAATTCCCACAGTCTTGCCTTACTGCCAGACTGTTTCCCACAGGCAAAAGGACAAGTCCTTAGAGGCACCTGCAAGTGGAAAGGGATTGTGACCCAGTAACAAGACACTCTGTCGTTTGTAGGTTCACACATCCACCTCTGTACACACACACACACACACTCCAACTCACACTTGCCTACACAGTCTGCTATCTAAACAGTGTACCACAAAGAAAGGTCCAAAAGTTATAAATAAAATCAAGATATTCATTTCTGGGCTGCAGTGCTACTGTTTACAATAATGGTTCACTACACTCAGATGAATCAGTCCTGAATAAACTACATTATTTACAGGACACCAGATAAAAGGTTCAGAAAGCAGCACAATCAAGAAAAGCTGTTCTTTGAAATCTAACTAGCCATAGTAACCCAGATTAGAATCCATAAAGAATTTTTCTAAAGAAGCCAAGAACAGATTACGCTCACTAATCACTGACAGAACAAGCAGGACTTAATAGGCTTGAGTTACTTGGTGTCCTCTAAATAATGAGCATAAGAAAAATACATGTCCTAAAAGATCAGCACTCAAATAACTTTCCTGGGGAGTTGTTACTGGGGAGATACTTGACACTTAGAGGTTTTCCATATCCCTTTCCTGACACGTGAAAGGTAGGTTTGACAATTAAACTGATTCAGTCTAAAACACACCAAATTTTAAACTTTCATCACATGAACAGCAAGAAGTTTGAAAACAGCATGGAACTAACTACAGCCAGTCATTTGTTGTACATTTCTTGTGTGCTGGAGCTTCCACTGCTAGCCCGAACAAGAAGGAACTTGCATCTGCCTTCTCACCCAAATGCCTTTGAGGTACTATCAGTAATCCTCAGCTTGCAACCAGCAGAAAATACTCTGCTTCAAACAGAAGAGAATAAGTGGGAAGAACTTTTTAGCAGGGCCTGTTATGATAGAACATGGGGTAATGGCTTTAAACTAGGAAAAGATTGATTTAGATTAGATATAAGGTAGAAGTTATTTACAGTGAGGGTGGTGGAACACTGGCACAGGTTGCCCAGAGAAACTGAGGCTGCCCCATCCCTGGAAACATTGAAGGCCAGGCTGGATGGGGCCCTGAGCAAGCTGATCTCGTTGAAATGTCCCTGCTCAGTACTGGTTGGTTGAACCAGATGACTTTCAAAGGTTCCTTCCAACCTAAACTATTTTGATTGCATGTTCCAGAAAGATCTCATCTCCAACACCATCAAAGTAGCAAAGGGAATACAGAACTCCAAGACCATCCAAACAAATCAACAATTCACTCCCATTTAAGCCTCAACTTTGTCCTTTTAGATAAAGTCTTTACCTGCATCCACATTCTCACTGGGAGCACAGGATTCTCCTGAGCTGAGTGAAAACAGGCTACCTGAAACTGCACAAAGCTGCAGCAGGCAACTGGAGTGACACTGACTGCTCACTACAACACACAGTGCCTAAGGAAGCATCAATGCATGTACCCAGACACCATGGAAACCACACATGGTGGGAAGGAACCACCTTGTGCTGCTGCTGCTGCCCCATCCTGGCTGGACTGCAGCACAGGGCCGGCTTTAAAGCCCATTCCTGCACTTACATCAAACCCCTGAAGTACCAGAACATGCTGTGCCAGAAACCTGAGTGGTGACCAACACCACTGCTTCCAGAGCTAAGGTTTTGCCTCCAAATGAACTATCTCTGCAACAGACAATTCATTTTGACCAGTCAGTAACATCACAGAGATGGCAGAGCTAAGCAGCACCAAAACTCTCATGAAGAACCAGATGATACACAAAGCCTTTTATGTGCCCAACCCCTGGTTTCTAAAATAAACAAACTGCAAACACTTGTAAACAGATCTCTCTTTAAAACCCAAACAGGGACTTACATCTCTTAAATCTCCATGCTTTTCTGCCCAGAGCTCTGCACAGAGTGACAGGGTATCCCCAAAGTGCACCCCAGCCTGCACACGACTGGCACTGCCCGGAGGGACATCACAGCAGCACCCTCAGGCAGCACAGCTTCCCAAATGGATGAACCCCAAAGTCACCCCAGACCATCAGCAGCTGACACAATCTGATTCAAAATGTCTAATGAAACCCTGTTACTCAAAGATTACTTTGTTGGTGTTTTACTTCAGAGGTCATTAGAGACTTCAATTTGGAAATTGGTAATAAAGTAACAAAAAAAGCCTGAAACATGAATGCTCTTTTCAGGGCACTAATACCTTGAATTACCTCACTAAAACTCGGATTTTAAAAGAGCAACATTTGCAAGGGGAAATAACTCCAGGCAAACCTGCCAAGGCATTGGGCAAAGTATTAACTACACAAACAGAGCTAAAGAGCTTGGAGGCTTTTAAGTGTGATTCTCTGAAGGGCCCCTTTAAAGGAGGTTGCCTGAGCTGAAAGGAATCGTGTGTGGCATATGCAATACAGAAAAACAAACACACACCAGGATACACATTCCTTGTATTGAAACACAAAATTTAGATAAATTAATCAAAAAGCAAAGAGTAGAAAGAAGCTACTTGACTCCAGAAAACTATGTTGTGAGCAAGGGTAGTTTGGTTGAAGATTTATATATGGAACACAAAGAGTTTTTTAATTTAAGTCACAACCAAGCAAATTAACATTCCCTCCATCAGGTCTTTTCTATTAAATCCATGTACCTAATAATTCATGATGTATGAAATCTCTAATTATTTTTTTTAGCAAACAATTTGCCTACAATAAAACTCTCATAAAAAAGCCTGGGTTCAAATTTGCATGGAATATTCCTATTTCTTAAGCACCCTTGAAGTTGGTACTGCATGCTATCTAAATATAAATATACATTGAAAAAAAATACCATACTCCAGAAATAAAATTACTATCAAATACTACCAAGAGTAGGAAAATTGGTACAGGGTTTGTTTGGGATTTTTTTGGTGACCATCAAAAGAATTTTTGGGGAAACTTTTGAAAGAAAAACTCCACATATGACAAGTAACAAGAACTCAAAGAAAGAAAAATACAGATTAACACGTCAATACATTAAAAAACCCCATTTAGAAACAGAAAGCTGGGCACAAGCTTCAAAGCCAAGTTGAAAGGTTATGCAGCAAGAGAAACAAGTGAACAGAAAATCCAAAGCAGTGAGAGGTAATGTGGGTTCTTTAGTCCTTGCAGAGAATGGACTTTTATTACAGTTTAAGTTCTAGCAGTTACAGCAGAAAGGGAATAATTTTCAGATTAAATAATAATTTTTTTTAAAAGCAACTAGAAAAAAAAAAAAGAAAAAAAACCCACACCAAATCACCCCACGTAGAAGTGTTGTGCAAAAATACTTAGATAAGAGTTATTTCTATCTTGTCCATCAATTACTTTGGATTTGAAAACTGGCATTCCCTGTTTGGGTTAGTTCCCTCCTCAGAAGATGCTGCAAAGTCTGACTGCACTGCCTGCGCACCTGGCACTTCCTCTGGAATGTGCAAGACTTCAACATGTCAAGACATCATCTGAAGAGCTGCTCCCGTTCTGACCTAATTAAGCATTTTCTGTATCATTAACATGGACAGTTTGCTCTCCAGACTAACATTTGCTGGGGAAATCCACTGCTTGGAACACGCACACAGAGCAACTTCACGTTGCATCAAGATTTTTTTGTGGCTGAGAAACAACTTCTAGATCTTCCCTTCAATACTCCTGAAGGGAAGTTCCCTGTCTGCTGAGAGAAGGGAGAATACAGTGACAGAAAACAGAGAAAACAGGAACCTGGATCCTTTGCAGTTTTCTAGACTTATGCTTTTTATACTTCCTACACTTCTAAAACCCCTTTGCAGAACTACTTTTTACAGGGCACGCCTCTGCCTTTGCTCTGCTAACCTCAGATGCCTCTTTGCTAGGTGGATTTCAGCTCTGATATTACTCTTTGATAAACTCACTCTCACTGAGTTTGTCAGCTCTTCCTTCCTTCTCTTTACAGTTTAGATAGGGCCCCATTTTGGCCAAAACTGAGCAGAAAAGTCTCTAATTCAGCTGAAATCAGCTGTGCTGAGCTGTGTCATTCTGCTCAGCCATCACGTTTCATCAAGCCCTCAATGTTTTGGAGAACCAGATCCTGCTTTACCAGGGGCAGGCAGAAATTAAGAAATCGAAACAATTTAATTGCTCATCTTTCAGTAACAAAAACTAGATCAGAGACAATTCACTCTGTCTGCCTGAAACATGAAGTCAGGCAGGAACTTTCAACAAAGAACTGGGTGGATAGGGCTGTTCTAAATATATCACACCATCCTCACCCATGCAAAGGAGTTGATTCACATGTGCAGCTTACCCACCAGCCCTAGCAGGCAAGAGAAAGGGGCTCTCAGCAATTTAATCAAGACTCTGTTACTATCCCACAACAGCTCAGCTTACTTGCCATTGTTTTAGGCAAGTGCCAAAGGGATGGAGAAGTGCCAGGCTTTCAGAATGCGTGCCAAGAAAGAGCAGAAAAAGTTAAATAGGAGACCTCATCCCTCGTATCCTCCAGCAATGAATGACCTACTTGGACGTCTCAGTGCCTCTCAAAGTTTTCACACCACTTTCTGTCCTGCCATTTACCTGCAAGAGAAACAAAACTGCAACAGTCTGAGCGGCTGCAGAGGGGAAATACCCACAAGGGAAGGCAGATTTCAGCAGCACAGCAGGAACTGTGCAGCCCAGCACCCAGGCTCCACGTGAACAACAAAACTGAGGGAGTTTGCTTTCTCCCGAGCTCTTTGCCTATAAATTCAGCTCCCAAGCACACAACAGGAGTGCAATTCTCACTGGTTGTTCCTTCAGTGCCAATGCTAGAAAGCCCTTCATGCCTTTTGACACAAAAAAGTTGTTTCTAGGAAATAAAAGAAACCCCTCAAAACCTTTCAAATAATATTTTTTAAATCTCTACCTCTGTCAAATTAGGCTGAAATTGGTTTGATTTAAAGATTTTCTTTTTCCAGGGATGAAACTCACACAAGCAATATTTCTTAGGAATCTACAGTGAAAATGAAGTCATCTGCATGAGGTATTTGGGCAACTCACCCACACAAACCTCCTACTACAGGCACTCATACTCCAAATTTTATAGCAGAGCAATGATATTAGTGACCAAACATCAAACACCTTAAATGCCATGTATCCAAGGCCTTGGATAGATCATTAATATTTCCAAAGGGCATTAGCCCATGGAAGAGATGCTCAGCTGAAGCAGGAACACTGTGACAAGGTGCAGCTGCACAGCCCACAGGAACTCCAACCCAAGACTCCAGCAGATATCCAGATCCCCAGTGCAGGAACGTGACACATATCCTGCCACAACCAAAAGCTGCAGAGTATTAAACTTGGATTTCCCTCCTGCAACCACGTGCAGAGGCACGGATTAATCACGACAGGGAGCCTTCACAGTTTATTTGAACACAAGTGACCCTTTGACGGTGAGCAGAGGTGTAAGAACAGGGGCCAGGGCTGCAGGGTGCTGTGCCCACCATCACTAACTCACCTCCCGGTGATCCGAGCAACTGGCACAGGTCCTGGGGTCACACTCAGCTCATAAAAAGTTAATAACCACGTCCTTCCCACCTTCCATAGATTCTGACAAGGCCTGAGTCACTACTGTTGGCTAAAAGAAACAAACAGTACCTCAGACATAAAGTTTGTGGAGAGGCGTTCTAAGCTCCTTGCAGGATGAATGATAAATCCAGTTTAAGCATTCTTGATTCCTATTTGAGGGGAAAAGAAAAATAAAGAACTGTTAGTGTGCCTTCCTATCATCTTTTGTCACCTGGCATTTGCTGGCAGCCTCAGTTGTAACAAAGCCACTGTTGTACACGAAGGGCAACGTTACACCAGGAAAGTCTCAGCTTCTTTCCATGAGAAAAAAAAGCCCCTGCACACTTTTCATTGGATTGCACTTCTCTGAGTCCTCCTCCTCCACCCCCAAATTTCACTGGGGAGAAGGGGGGAGGGAGATTTAATAATAAATAAAAACACAAACAAGAATAAACAAAGAAAAAACCAAACAAAAACAAAGCCAAAACAAAATCAAACAAAAGCCTCAAAATGAAAACAGAAAAACCCAAAACACAGAAATCAAAACAAACAAACAAAACCCCAAACAAAAACACACTTGCTCAATCTATACCAATTTTTTCAAAGAGTTTTGGTATGACTAAGACAGTAGCTAATGCATGCACTCAGTGTGTGTTTTATCATGGCTTGTGCACTACAATACTGCAACCATTGCCAAGTCTCATTTGCACCCAGTATTGCAATTCTAAAATGTGAGCAAAAGTTACCAGAGTCAAGGAGTCTCTCAGCAGTTCATCAGATTTACACATACTGGCATGTAAAGTAAAAAATATTCCCTGTAAAGGTATAAATCTTCACATGACACCAGATTATGTGAAAATACTTTGGACCCCAAAAGAATCACGGCCTCATCACGTAAGCAAATCCAACCACACGTTCAGCTTCCTCCTACTAATTGCAAACCACATATTTTGTTGTTTTTCCAGGACCTCTTAAAGTTCCTTCTATGAATAATATTTAAAAGGTTTTTTTTTTTAATGGAAATATTAATCTAAAATATATCTCATAATCTTGAATCCCATGTAGAAAAACCGCTGTGCTGGCTCCAAAGTATGCCTTCAAGTGATGTATTTTACATCTTACACGGAAGAGAACGTGAGCTTTTTAAAAATCAAAAAATGAGCTTGGGGCAAAGAGCTAATGATGCTGCCACAAGGAGTACTGCACCCCAGCCCAGGACACACATTGCAAGCATAAGGTACACATTAAAACACTTAAATGAAAGCATTTAAAGCTTTTTTATAACTCAGAGTAATTATGGAGGGAATCACAAGGGATATAAAGAATAAACAGATACTGATTACTCACTGGTTCCTGAAAAAAAACCACCAAAAACCAAAACAAAAAAATCCAACCAAACAAAACCAGAAAACAACACAGGGAACAAAACCAGAGAGAGAGAAGTTCAGAACAAATAAAAAGCAGCATTGCTTCTCGGGGTTTGAGGTTAAGCAGGAACTCAGTGCAGGTCGCTATAAAACCGAAAGCTCACAGCGTGCAGAAGAGAACCGCTGGCTGATGAAGGGCAGCTCCGTGTTAGCTGCTAAATCAGACAATACCCGGCACCCCAGAGTGTTTTAGGTCACCACCTTGCACTGTTCTTCCTGAGACAGCACTTTGCCACTTTCTGAAGAACACATCCAACCTTCCTATCCTCGGTATCCCTCACTCCCAGCAACGAAGCAAGGACCTTCCCAAAGGCTACCTCATCCTGTGCCAACTTTTTATGGCACTCGCAGGGAGCAGAGGTCGCCTTAAATTTGTCGCGGTGCTCCCGGTAGGGATTAGCATCGCGCTGGCACGGCACAGCCCAGCCCGGCACCCTGCGGGAAGGGGGAAAGCGCGACCTGCCCTGCTGGGGCCGCTCCGCTCCCCCCGGAGCAGCGAAAGGCTCGCTCCAATCCCTTCCCCAGCACCCCCGGGCCCCGCACCGGCACACTCACCTCCGCTCGCACCGCCGGGGCGCGCACCCCGCTTCCCAAGCGCTGCGGACACGAAGGAGCCGGCACGCCACGCGGCCGCGGCGCCCCCGGTGCCCCGGGCTGCCCTGCCCTGCCCCGGAGCCGGCCGCGTCCCGGCGGGACAGGTGCCGCCGCGGGGCATCGCCTCGGGCCCGGCCCGGAGCATCGCCTCGGGCCCGGCCCGGAGCATCCCCTCGGGCCCGGCCCGGGGCTGCGGCCGCGCTGGAGTGCTCCGATGCAGCCTCGCCATCCGCCCCCCTGTGACCCTGCTGCTGCTAAATTCGTTGTTTTGTAATTATGCGTTGTCCAGATGTGTCTTGAGCGACGGGACTCGGATGATTTCCCAGTAGATTCATTTCAAAGCCCATAAGCAGAAATACGCACGCGTGTCTGTGTGCACAGCCACCAATACGTAACATATACCCAGGATAATGTATCCTTAATAAAGATAATGCTACCAAAAGGAAAGAATGGCAAAAGTGAGTGTTCGCTTTTGTTTTCTCTACACGAGACTGTCCAGTCGAGTGGCGCTGCGGCGGATTGTTGGGTTTTTCGAGAGGGCGAATGCTCCGGTCGGCGGCGTGCGCCGCCCTCCGCCCCGTTCCCGTTCCCGCTGCTGAGCCGCGTTACACAGCGCAGCTCCCGCGGACATCCCCCGCCTCCGCAGCCTGGCCGGGCCCCCTCGGCACCCCGCTGCTCCCCCGGGCGGGTTCACGCCTCTAAGGGGCTGAGCACGAACGGCACGGCCCCGCTGGAGCTCCCGTGTCCGCGGTCACCGACTCCGGACAAAGAGCCACAGGGTCCGGCTTCCCCAGCGCCGGGCGAGAGCTTGCACTCAGCTCAGCACCCCCAGAAGCGGCAGGGAAGGCTGTGTCCGCCCCCAGAAATGCCAGGGTCAGGGACCGTGCTGGGCTCTGGACACCCGGTCCCCCGGGACACCGAAGGTGCAGGCACGGGGACTCCCCTGTTGTCCCGCCCCAGCCAGGCACAGAAGAGGAAGTGACAGAAGGCAGGGTTTGGCCCGCTGATGTTTCTTAAGCGCCCGGCACGGATTTCAGAGGACAACCTTTGCTCTGGGTGTTTATTAATTGTCCCTTCCGACCCGGGGAGAGGCCATGCTGCAGCCTGCACACGGCTCTGGACTAGCTCTGCTCTTCTGGAGCTGGTGCCAAGTTGCCCAGCAGCTCAGGGGGTCCAGGAGACCTGCAGAGAGACTTGGGACAAGGGATGGAGGCACAGGACCCAGGGAATGGCTGAAGCACTTGAGCATCAGTTACCCGGTGCTATCATATCCGGTGTTCCCATCTCCAACTCTTCTTCATCTTCCTCCTCAGACCAGCTCAAGCTGTCATCAGAGTCCTCATCCTGCAGAGCCCCGGGCTCCTCGGTGTTTGCAGCTTCCTTCTCTTGCTCACCACAGGACTGCATCTTGCTTTGGGGGAGCTCCAGCCTGGCCCAGGAGCCAGGGCTGGCTTTGCAAAGCGTGATCTCCACCTTGGCCGGGACCATGCTCACAAAGCTCTTCTCCACATCAATGGTCTGGAGAATGGGAAAGGCACACTGAGCCGGGCAGGAGAGGGCAGGCAGCACACGCTCAGCCTTCCCCTCACTGGCAAAGCCCTGCCAGAGGAGAAATCTCCTCCTGTGCCAGGAGAAGCCTGGGCTGCAGCTGAGCTGAGCTGAGCTTCACATTGCCGTGTCTCAGCAGCACCACCGCGCTCGCACAGAGCTCAGGAGAGCTCAGCTTGCCTCGCAGCTGCGGCACAGCCTCTCTCCCCAGCAGCGCGCTGCGCTGAGACACAGCCATGTCAGCAGCCCTCTGCCGCCCGCAGGCACAGCCAGCACCACAAATACAGACGAGAAACGCACATGCAAATTCCTGAGCCTCACTGCTGCTCCCCAGCCAGCAAGCAGCTGAAAAATCAGTCTCATAGCTCAGACCGCAGCCTGCCTCCAACTCACAGCAACAGAAACAGGGACCTGCCGGGCCAAAGAACATTTGGGGCAGCCTGGGACAAAGCCAGAACACCTATAGGGCTGGCAGGGACCTCCAGCTCCGACCTTAGCCCTGGATCAATCGGTGCAGACACCTCAGCCTCCTCACAACCCCTAAGGCATTTCCCAGCAGAGATGGCCACAAATGCCTGTGTCTGGGCAACCCAGCCCAGGATGAAAAGCCCAGGCTGCCTCACAGAACTGCTGCCCAGCCCCATGCAGACTGCTGGAACAGGGAAATCAAAGCAAACAGGATCTTACCCCCCAGAGCTCCAGCTCTGCCTGGAAAATCTTATTCCCTTCAAAGATGACATGAGCCTCAAGCTGAAAGATCAACAGAAAATTATCTGAGAGGGTAGCACAGCACTGCCAGAGCTCTTCCCCCAGACAGTGCAGCTGCCTTTCAGCACCATATTGCATCCCACTTCCTAGCTCCAGTATAATGGTCTGGTGATCCCCTTAGCACCTGGCAACATTTCACCCCTTCCAGAGCATGACAGGTTCACCTCTGCCACAGGTCAAGGGACCCAAAGCCAGCAAAATCCACCCAGTGGAGCTGAAAGCCAGAGCTGCTGAGCAGCTCCAGCAGTGAGGCCACCAGGGGATGGCAGGCTGGCAGTGCCAGCCCTGCTGGGAGCAACAGCCAAACAGCCACCAAAGAGCACCAGGCACCCCGCTGGCTCTGGGGTCTGCAAACTCAGGTGGGAGTGCAGATGCCCACCCCACTCACCACGGTGCGATTGGCCTTCACGCTGCTGAGGGCAGGCAGGGGGTTCTTGGCATAGACTGTCACCACCACCTGGCTGGGGGTTTGGTGCCAGTCCTGCCGGCACAGCACCGCCTTCTTGTCCTGCCGAGGAGAGGAACCCATCAGGGCGCGGCTGGGGCTCAGGCACCGCCCCGGCAGAGGCATGGCTGAGCCTCAGGATGCTCCCTGCACATCTCTGTGCTGCTGGCTCAGGTTGGCAGCAGCTAAGCAAGAGCAAACCCTGCCTTTTGTGCAGGTTTTGAGGGGAGATGGTTCACGCAAAGGTGGGCAGCCCCTGCCGTGCTGTCCATCCCATGTAACTGGCACATCTGTGCTGTGCTTGGGGTTCCTTCAGGGCACTCTAAGATCAGGGACATCTCTAGTTCCAGAGTCACTCTGCTGTGCCCGAGCTCCTAAGTGCTGTGCACAGTCAGGAAACTCAGCCTGGAGGGCAGGGCAGGGGCTGTTACTGGACATGGATCATGCCACCATCCACATTTGGAGTCAGATGAGCCCCAGCTGGCCACGTTTCACCTTTGTCCACCGTGTCAGTCCTGTGTCCTCAGCAGCTCAATTCTGACCAGCACAAGGAGACAGACCCCCTGCAGCCCTCCACACTGCCAGCCAAAGAAATGCTCCAGGAGGAGTCCTGGCCCCAGACTTAGGTGACAATTAGCACAAAACATCTGCATCACAACATCACAGTTCCTTCACTGCAGCCTCCTTTACATTCAGGATATGTTTTCTGCTCCAGAACAAAGAAGAGATTGGGCTCAGAGAGGGTTGCTGGGAGCAGTGCTGACTCAGAAGAACACAGTGCACTTTCAGGGTTATCCTGGGCTGCTTTTGTGCAACTTTCCCAGCTCAAGCTTTTTTCAAGAACTTTCCTGGGGAAATTCACAGACACAGTATTGAGAACTGGGATCTTGTCCCTGCTGCCCTGCCACAACATCATGTTGGTGTGTGGATGAGATCCCTCCTGAGAAGCAGCTGCAGAGGGAAAGCTTCATTAAAGCCAAATTCAGTTATCTGCAATCATCTGTCAAAGACTTTGGGGTTTTTCTGTAGGACTTTTCCTGTGCTCAGCCACCTGCCTCTATGTGGCAGCCTGCAATGCTGGCTATGCTGTGTCCAGGGCCAGGTCCTGCCTTGTTCAGATTTCTATTGCACATCTGCCCATTGGGTGTGAGAGCTGACACATCTTGTGAATGCAGAGCAGCATCTTAAAGGGCAGATGGATGAAGATTGGGCATTCAAACCCTGTGCACTCATCTGTCAGCAACTGTGAATATTAAGACAATACAATGCAGAAGCCTGTGTGAATGCAGAGCAAGGGAAGGAGTGCTCTCAAATGCCAATCATGCCAATTGCTCACATGAGTTGCCTCTGCTGAGAGCCCCCTTACCTTCTTTTCTGTCCAGCAGTGGCACCCACGGCTGCAGCCTGGCTGCTCCATGAAGGCACTGAAGTCCGTGGTTTTGATTCCACAGCAGCTCCAATACTTCATCCTGGGGAGAGCAGGGTGACCTGAGTGGGGTCAGGAGCAGGAGAGGGGACCACAGCAGGGTGGGGAGGCAGAGGGGCTCATAACCAGGATTTGCCCCTGTCCACCTGTCCCCTTGCAGGGTGTCACCCCCAACTGCAGTGCCTGTGCTGCTGGGGCCACACAGCCTTGCCATGCAGCATTTTTAGCCCGTGGCAGGGCCAGTTTGCTCTGGTAAAGGGCTGTTTCTTACCCCTCGTGGAAGACAGGAACGCCAGGATGAAAGGTACAAACCTCTGTGTTACTCTCTGGACCCTGGTAGATCTGTGGAGAAAGAAGCAAAGTTCTATCTGTGTCTCTGGCACAGGGTGATGTGGCACAGGTGTCCACTCATCAATGCCCATCCCTGTAGAGGGCACAGCACAATGCCCAACATCACCCTTTTGCCAGGTCCAGCATCTGTGCAGTTTCCCTCTGGGACCATGCCCAGCCCAGCCCTTGTCCCTGTCCCTGCTGGCAGGGCAGCCACCCTGACCTTGCCAGGACCACAATGTCACCCCTGCCACCCTGCCAGCAGCCCTTCTGTGCCCTTCTCCCAAACACAGCCTGCTCCCAGCCCAGGGCTTGGCAACAGAAGGACAGTGGGCACGTTTGGACACCACAGAAACTCACTCTGAGGTGCAGGGGGGGATTTGTCATTGCTGTCCTCTCCCCTCCATTCCAGAGCATGCCAGCCTTATGGCCTCATCTGCCTCCTGCCTTTTGCTCCCCACTCCCTCGCTGCTGCTTTCCAATCCCTGCCACAGCTCAACCCTCCCACTCATCCTCAGGCAGGCACCGCTCCACAAGGCAGCCTCGGGCAAGAGAGAAACTGGCTGTGCTGCATCAC